TACACGGTGAAAATGGCAGATGTTAGGAGAAAAAATAGTACCTGAGAAACAGCCTCGCCGAGGGTAACTTTACGGGCAGATTTGCCGTCCATCTGATCACATGCGGTTAGCAAGTTGAGAGGAAGGTCTGCGTACTGGGCGAATTTAGGATGGTGTTTTTCGTTCGGATCAACAAAGTATTCAATCTCAGCCATTGCGAATTCACGAACACGGATGATACCGGCTCGGGGGCTGATCTCATTTCGGAAAGCGGTGCCGATTTGGGCAGCGCCGAAAGGAAGGCGACTTTGATTGAACTGCAGCAAGCGCTGGAAGTTCACGAAGATACCCTGAGCGGTCTCGGGTCGGAGAAAACTAGCGGGAAGGAGAAAGTCCACAACAGTAAGTTAAACTGTGTCGGCTGCCACGACAAATAAGGGGACAAATAAGGGGATCAGGAACTGTTTCTAATTAAAAATCCATAATATCAAGTAGACAGTGAGGCTTCAAGGACTGCGGATGCATGTGGTTGGTATGCTGATGTAATTGGCTCCCAAACTTCTACGATTCTCGCGAATTAACTATGCATTAAAGAAGATGGTTTACAACAACCGACAGAACTGAAGTGTCTATTCCCTTTCATAAAAACAAACCTCCATTTCAAGATAACCCATTAAAATAGATACTGAGTAACGCTGACTAGTTGCAGGTCATTGCACGGTGAGCCTGGTTGCTAAAGCCTCTGAAAACAGATAAAATGCTCCATTTATGGACTAAAAGCCGAATTTGACTTCCTCATGGGGTTCCTTTAAAATTTGCAAAAGTTTGAAAGGCGTCGTTATTCCGATTCAAAACAACTTACACAACTCAACGAGGCCCTATAAAGCAACGAAGTAGCCAATGGCGACAGTGATGGCCATGCGTCAATTACTGTAGGAAAGCCGACCAATAATAGAAGATTGTAGTAGCCATTTCTGACTTATTGTCGTTAATAGCTATCTATATCATAGCTGAGGATAGGGACGGCATGGGATTTGAGCGCGGGTGCAAAGGGTCATTTGAGTCAAGCTCGTCCCGGTTTGGGTATGACTGACTGGTGACAGAAAATAGGTTATAAGTGGCCAACCGTGTCCCCTTTGTCGTTGTAAATATCTCCTCTGTACTATATATTACTTGTCTCCACTGGAAATAGATCATAAGCATGTTATATTCCCGAGATCATACCCCAAGAAAAACATGCGGAGTCTGAAAGAGGTCAAGAGGCGTCGGGCTAAAGCCCCAAATTACCAGAATGCCCCCTCTCCTATTTGTGTTATTCAGGCTATCGAAAGAGCATGTGTGTGTATGCTAACTTGTGTGGTCTGTGTGCTGTGCCCCCTAAAAGGTCTGCAGGATAGATGCGCTGGATCAACACGGGGCCAGGTTAGAGTACAGCAGGCGTTATTCGGATTGCGCGCCAATAACAAATGCCGAACATGGGAGAGCGTGGTGGCATACTTAGGGGCGGCTTCGGTCGCGCCTGCCACCTGCGCTCGATTCCGCCTCCGGTCTTCTTGACACCGGGCTCTGGTGGGTGGGGGAAGGGTGTGGTAGGTGCTTCGCAAGTCTACGATCACTTAAAACTAATTCACTTGCAAGGCACCGTCCCTGCACCACCCTGTTGTGGAGCATCGTCGAAATCGACGGTCGAACTGTCTGTCTAGATGTTGAAAGGGTTAGACTGTGATCAGTAACGAAGGCCAGACTTCGGGCGAAAATGAGCCTTTCCGTGATGGAAAGATGGAATGCTCCTAGAACCACTGTAGTTTATGACGGGACTGATAGCGTCTGCAGACAGCGTCGCGACAGTCATCAGCTTACAAATATTAATTCAGATGGACAGAAAATCTAAGTTGGAAATAAATCATAAGCCCTTATTGCATACGCTCATCCTATTTAACTAGTTGGCTTTTACTGGTGTTCCACAGGTTTGTTTGTACTCGGGTATTCGTCTGTGAATCTAAGAATGTGCGATTTAAAATTATTACGTAATAATCTTAATGGATTTGCATGGACAACACCTTGGCACTCTAAGTACGTCAGTTTGAGCTGACTAAAGATGCTGAAGATTAGGAAGTCATGTCAGAGGAGATTGTAGTAAGACATATCTGGGATAAAAGAATGTCATACTCACCCCTGGCACTGGCCAGTTGGCCCGATCAAAGTAGAGAACATCAAATTGAATTGCTGTGGAGGGGTGAGGTCATTTTTGGTGTTCGGTGATTTTATATTATATTTTTCTATAATTGTGGCGAATTCCTTGGCACCATAATTGTCCAACTGAAATAGAAAAGACATTGCAAAGTTGAAAATGTTAGCGGTAGTCGTGAAGTTTTCTTGTGAAAAATTACTTGGCATGTAAATGCAAGTTATATACATATCTGTCTTGAATAAATGAGAAGCGCGCACTCCGATATGAGATAATCAAAGGACGAGGCTCGTAGGGGAGAGTGTGGACAGATAATTAGGGACTACGATAGCTATTTCTGGTTTACAAGTTACCGTCAGCCACCCTTACGCAGCGGACAGATATTGTACTAGTTAAATCGATATTTGACTGTCTTGAAAAATCATAACTGAAAGATACTCAAACGAGCACGAGCATTCTCTCCATAAAATGTAGTTGCAGTTTTAGGAGCATCGAAGAGACGAAAGTTAATCCAAGTAGAATGATAGCAAAGTCTGCTTATTAGCACACACAGAAAGGAGTATTCACATTTACTATAAGACCGATGATGGCCTGAGGAGCCGGCGTCGAAGGTCCATGTCAACTGCCAGCAGCCGCACGGCAGTTGGTAGTATAAGCAGGAGAACATTACCGATAAAGACCACGGAGATTGTAATGGCTAGTTCTGGCTTACTAACCCTCATCAACCATACCCAACCGCAGGTGTTGCGGTACCCGATGCTCGAACCTGTGACTTGTTGGCTAGAAATCCAGCGCTTTAACCACTGAGCCACGGGCTTATAGTCTTGTCGGTGTTTCGATCGGGAGATATTCAATCTGGTGCATAGGAGCTCAAAAATATAAATATACGGCTGGGTACGGTTGGGCGTAGGCGGATGACTCCCACTGCGTAAGGCTCCTCTATCTACGTGCCGAGCGGAGGGTTTTGTGCCCTTAGCATAAAGCAACATGCGTGAAAATTCGAGTTCCAGATATCTTTTCGTATTCATCATTTCGCAAAGAAGACGACAAAGGGACGAGGCCATGGGTCGCCACGTATTTAGATTGATATTTCGGAAATACTACCGATTCCATCATCAGAGTGATTTGGTAGTTTTTTCTGTTGGTCACAACCGCTTCAGTCTTGACACTTGCCTGAGGAAATCGATATAAATATATGTATATGTTGCCCGACAAAAAAGCATAAACCTTTCCCTTCGTGCATAAAACTTTAAAAGACAAACCTGAGCCAAAGTGCGGTTAATTTCTACTTTCTCCTCGGGTTTTGTATCCTTTGCAGCCAGTTTGGTCTCTAGAAATGCCTCGATCAGGTGGTCGACGCGGAAACACTCCCCGTTTATAACGTCTTTGACCATGTAGTCAGTGAAACGATCGACGTGGCCAGAAGCCTTAAGGACATTTTCTGGCGTCAGGACAGAGCAATCGACTTCAAGCAGCTGCTCTTCTAGCACAAAGAATTGACGCCACGCGGAAAGAATGTTTGCCTTGATGGCACAGCCTGTCGGCCCGTAATCGTAGAGACCCTGAACACCTGGAGGAACGGCAGATAATATCAAGGGCCGTAAAGGTGACAAGCAAGAAACATATTTTTTTAAAAAAAGCAATATGCAACGAGACAAAGAAATTGAAGAAACTTCGCCCATACGAATAACAATGAGAGGTAAATTCGATTGGGTAAGAAATCACTGCACATATATGATCTTCAGGACCTTTGTGAAACAAAATTATCATATCTGACAGGTTTGCTTTGCCATAAAGAAAAACTTTTGGATAGGTCAATGTGCATGGAGAGATGCTGCGAGGGAAAGCAAATGTAACTAGCTATTGTAATTTATAGGTAGTGGGAGCAAGAGGCGACGAGAACTAGGTAATATAAGAGACAAAACCAAAAAATCGATTGATGTTTATGATACTCACTTGCGACTTAATAAACCATCAACCTTCACTGACGGGTAAAGCCACAAAAGTACTTACAGCAGGGAGAGGTGAAAAATATGTGAACGTTGCAAGCAAGAACTGAGGAAGATATAAATGTCAATAGTCAAATTTGTAAGTTCCAATAGCAGCCAGTAATGTTTATTGGTGAGCGTTCGACCGTTTCCATGCTTGTCGGGGCACGCGAGTCAGCCGCCATCCCAATCCCTTTCGTAAGAAAACAGTCATTGGCGTCTTTTATCGTAGTGACTCATGAGCTCTTTAACAGTCGCGACATCGACCTCTGAGAGCTGAGTCACCAAGGTACGAGAGAATTTAAATAGGGGGCCTTACTGGATCTGAGCCTTTGTCAAAGAGACAAAACTTTTAGGGCTACAATATGGACCTTCCGAAAATGCACTCTCAGACAAAGCTAACGATAAAACTTGATTTAATATTCCCGATCGAAACCGGCAAGGCAACGAGCCCGTGGTGCAGTGGTTAGAACACTGAAATTCTTATCAACAGGTCGCGGGTTCGAACCCTGGTTAGTGCACCGCTTAGAGTTGGGCATGACTGACTGATGGCGGCTAATAAGCCCGAAATTGCCATTCCATTCGTTCTCAAATTTGTTGGTAATGTCCTTCTGTCTAATGTAAGGGTTGCCAAAAATTGTATTTATTTTCTATCTAAGTAGAGTGTTGTTTAGACAGCAAATAATACTGTGATGTTAAGACTGGAAAACGTGAGGAGGGAGGTTTCTGAGTCTCCGTGAGAAACTTTGGTTTCGTCAACAGTAGATGATACCTTAGTATCTCCTACGTAATAAATTTGTTCGTTAAGTGTGCTTAAAAAACTTATTTGTTCACTCAATTAATCAGAATTCCTGTTTGCGAATTTCAGCAGACAAATTGTGATGAATGAGAGAGCTCCTTGCCTTTCGGGAGTTAAAGGGGACCGACAACAGTAGTAAAAAAGTGCTCGCGTTATATAAGTTCATCAGATTAAGTCAGAATTATATGCAAAGAAATACCGTAAAAGATAAACGGCACGCACAGAGTACAAATTTAAAAAAGGAAAAGTCGCTGGGGAACAAAAATGGTTGCACCCGGAATTGCAAGATGGAAAATAATCAATTGGACGTTAATCTCTAAATAAAGTAAGGATGTCCGATGCCATATTTTTAGATAGAGGTCTTAAAACCCAAAGATAATGAATTTCCTAAAGCAAGTAAATGGTCCTCTGTTATGATTGCACGGAATGCGTTCTGGTATATAATCTGCATAGTTATTAACACACTTTCGTTACTCCGACCCTTAAGACGGGACACTGTACCTAACAGCAGAGAAAATTTTCGCGCCCATTAATCTCACAAAAAAAGAATATCGTCAGACGAAAATTTTCGTAAAACGCCCAATTCTAGATAGGAAGGCAAACGTCCTGGCTCTTGGTTTTGACCAAGGTCAGAGAGTATCAATGTTCTCAGGAAAAAACAGAAGTCCTTGGCCATACCAACTCCCAACTGTGATGCATTATGGAACAAAACGTGAAGAATGTAACTCTAGTAGGGAATCTGATCCATACGTGAAGAAACTGATTTAGATAATGAGTGGAATGGTGTGTAGAAGATACGGAGAATCTCTAGAGTAAGTTCAGACTGCGCTGCCGTCTACACTGATTATTCGCCTGCTGGGAGAAAAAGGAGTTCGCAATTCTCGGTGGCCCAGGACGACAGGCGTTGGGTGAATACTAAGTAACTACAAGAACGAAGTGACTACCTAAGTTATGACAAAGTACACACATACACATTTTGCAAAACTCCTCGTGCAGGAAAGAAAATAGTAGCTCAGTGCTCGTGGTGCTTGTTTGGTAAGTTCTACTCAAAGCACATTACGACAGAAGCATTCTAGCGATGGCTAACCCATCGGATACGCTTAGAGAACGCAAAATTAAGTTTAAGTTCCTGTTCCAAGTCACTGTTTTCTGAAGCCTATACATTAAGACAGAAATAGCAAAACGCTTGAAGGAAGCGACAGCATCTGTAAACGTGCATCTGCAATTAGTAAAGCAAACAGTTTTGTGAGACGAAGCGCAAAATAGTCCATGTTTATAACTTAACTCAAAGGTATATGAAAAAAAATCGAGGCACTACATGTTTTCGAGTGTCGACTTCCTCAGATATTATGCAGGCTCTCGAATAAGTAAAGGTTATTATGTTTCACAAAAGTTGGCAAATTAAATCTTACCGCCATAAATAGAAAAGGACTGGTCATAGAAGAACTTCTGTTTCAGCAGGTCTTCTAATTTTGAACGGTCAAAATTATCGTCTTTTGATCTGAGTTCGATTTCCTGAAGCAACCAGGTTACTTAGGCAAAATAGACTACCTTCTCATCCAATGCACGCTTTTTAGCTTTTAACACAGTGACGGCTCTTTTAATTTCCCCATCTGGGGCCTTGTTAGCTTTCAATTGCCGAACTATATCCCCCTTTTAAATAAAATTATTTGGGTGTATCTCATGTACTTGGGCCTGGACTTCAGCACGCAAAGGAGACAATATTTCTTCGATTTCAGTCATTACTGGCAATGATGGGAGAGTCTTTAAAAATTCTGAAGTCACTTTAGAGCACCAGTGGTGGATGTGATTACTGGTCTCGCAAAATATGGGCCGATGGTTCAGAAACGCAACCAAACGCCGTGCAACAAGAAGGGCCACACGCATAAACGCACTTAGTGACCGTATCAACCGGGTAGGCCGTCATTTATTTGAAACAAATCGCGATATTAAGCAAGTTCCACGAATTCTTAGTAGTATCTGGGGCGTTGCAGTGATCTCGTTTCCTAGCAGTTGTGTAGGTGAAGCTGTAAGGAATGGAAAACCAACTCGAGGCACTGAACTCATTGGTAAAATTAGGCAGTGACTCCTATAGGAAATGTGCTGAATCTATTTATTTTTTATTTTTCATTTGAAACTTTACTTATTCGTATAAAAATCGATAAAAATTTAAAACCAGTGCTTCTCCTTTGCGAGTGTGTAATATGACTTCGTGCTCATTGTGTGTCTACAAGCCTCGTTGCGGTGTCTCTATCAGTTAGTTCACTATGGTTCGTTATATTTCAGGTAATAGGCGATGCCTTTGAAGACTTTATTAGAAACGGCATGCAAAAATTGTCAAGTTGAGAATATATAAAATAAATCCATCACTTTAAGAAGGGGTAACGGATTCACATGTACACATTTGTGTAACGTCAAATTTACGCATAGTCATCCTAGTGATCGTAGATAAAATTGTCAAATAGTACATATTTGCGTCATTTGTGTGAGCTAACCATTTAAATTGTTCTGACAGTGCTTCCCCGCACATAAGAACGGTATCTTTTAAGCAAATATGCATCAACTTCCTGTTTTAATGCATCTGTCATATTCGCCATTATGACGTCAACACAGTCCGCTCTATGCACGGACGACTATCTGCGGACATCCAGGTGGGATAAGTTTCCTCGAAGTTTTCA